CTACAGGGACTGGGACAGAAGGTTAGGCAAGCCCAATGTTTAGCCTCCAATGCCCATGGAGAGAATGAGGATTGCAAGGATGGCAGTAGGAGGGAAAGAGGGATTTGACCAGGCAGGGAGAGATGGCAGCCCCATGTAAGCCAACAATTCCATACCTGGATATTCCTAGGCATAGTGAGGGATGAAGGGACATTCACTTGGCACTGTTCACAGTAGCCGTCAAAGGCTAGGTGCTTTACTGCCAACAGTAGTGGCTGGCAGGCAGTGCCACCACACCATGGTTCAAACCCACCAATTAAGGATAGGATAGGAGTGCCAATATGGAATATGAGCAAGTTCAAGTTAAATGAAAGGCAAATATATAAAAGTTGGAGACCACCCATAACAGCCTGACATAGCCACTTCTCAAGGCTACTGTGAAAGTAGAAGTGAATTATATATGAAACCCCTTTGGGAAAAACCATTTAAAGGTCTATAAAATTTGCAAAAGACATGCCAAATGTTCACCATGAGACTACGAAGTGGAATGGAGCCCAACAACATATTAGAAAAACTTAGAGAACATTTTTCCTAAACTGTGATATTTAGGGCCACATTGGATTTTAATGACCCTAGTAAAAGAAAGTCACGAAGAAGAGAATTGGTATTAGCACCTTCTACTCCATTCATTCCAACTTCCCTGGGAAGTGTTCCCACAGACAGTCCTTAGGTGAGCAAGTGCTTTTTCCTAAATGCCACCCCAATGATTATTCTAATTCTGAGAGAGCGGGGTGGTTAGTAATGTCTGGTTGTTTCTATCTTTTTGCTTTCCATTCTTGTATTTCCCTTCTAATCTTTTTTATTGATCTTATAAGTTAGGGGGAAATTACCAGGTGATTTTAATAACTAAATATTATTTTCCCCAGTTTTACACATAATTGAGTGGCTTCAGGAATAATTGTATGAAAAATATTACCACTGTAGTAAAGATTATCTCTTTGGTTCATCTTTCTCAGTGCTAAAAATTCTCCCTACCCTCTCCAAGTTTACTGTGCAGATTAACTACCAGGGACCCAGCAAGGTTACTCTGTAACATGACCCTGAAAGTGTCTGAAACTCTTAAACTGCAAGTGTGAAAAAGTTGTAAAACAGTACACCCCTGAAGCAGTGAGAAACTCAAATAGCAAAGGAGGCAATGGAGAAGTGTAAGGAAAGAATGGTGCATCCATAGTATATTCTGAATTTTGCCATGTATGAATACAGCTACTCTCGCCTCTATCTGTTATTTATTTAATTTGTTGATTTCCTAGGAGAGGATTTAATGCAATGTCTGCATGTACTCTGTGGCTAGCTGAAGTCAGAGTTTCATAAAAAGAAGTATCTTTTCCCTCTATAGTTCCAGGGATTCCTGAAACTTGTAAGAAAATTTTCAGATATCCCGAAGGCCCATATTATTTTCCTATTGAGATATAACTGATATGTAACATCATATTAGTTTCAGGTGTACAACATAGTGATTTGATATTCATACATATTGTGAAATGGTCACAAATCCAGTTATTTAAAATTGATCACCATACATAGTTACAAAATTATTTTTCTTATGATAAAAACTTTAAGATGTATTCTCTTAGCAACTTTCAAATATGCAATACAGTATTATTAACCATAATCACCATGCTGTACATTACATTCCCATGACTTATTTATTTTCTAACTGGAAGTTTGTACCTTTTGATCCCCTTCACCCATTTCACCCACCCCAAACCCCATTTTAGATTAACAATAGTGCATGTAGACACACAGTATATTGCCTAAAAAGTGAGGTCTGATGAAAAGTTGCAGCAGCAACCAGTGTTCCTTGATTTCCTAAGTAACCAATCAAAACGCATGTATCAACTGTGAAAATGCTCTCAAACTATTGGGGACATGCAGTGAATACCCAAAATTGTAAACTAGGCTGCAGCCATAATTTATATGAATGTATATGTTTATAATACTTTGCTAAATGCACCATCCAGCCGCCTGCTATAATGAAACAGTGAAATCAAACTGAAGACTTCATACTGCAAAAGCAATATTTGGCTTAACTACTGGTGGGCTATATGAGTTGACTTGTACAAAGATTCTGGGTACAAGTAATGTATCTTTTCTTCCCACCATTTAAAAAAGTAGCACCANCCCTCCACCCCCGCCCCTTGCAAATTTCGGCTACTCGGAGATGAAATTACATTTTTCCTACGTGTCGCAGTGGGGAGCGCACTTCTGGATAAATTTGAAGTCGTGGGGCCGCTTCTCCACGGCTGGGCCCTTCGGTGGGTTTTGAAAGAGGGAACAGTGTCTGGCCCGCTGGCCCTAAGACAAACTCCCAGGCCTTGGTGTCAGAACCACCCACAGCACCGACAAAAGTTGCTGCTCTGAGAACTGGGTTACCCAGCGCGTGTGCGCCCAGAGTGTGAGTCAGCGGTGGTGGCCAGGCCTGGGTGCAGCCGTGGGTAGAGCCACAGTGACTATAATGTGAAATGAAATAGGACTATAATCAGACTCCGGCTCCATTTAACTTCGCGTTCTCTCTCCCTCCCGCTGCCTTTAGTAAAGGGTAGGGGGAAGTGAGGTCAACTTAGACAAGAAGCAGAACAAAGTCAAGAAACTCGAGGCTCTGGACTTTCAGAGACACGCCCAGATTTGGAGGTCTCACCCAGCAGCGGCCTTTGCGCAAGTGGCTCGAATCCGGAGTGAGGGTCAATACTTTAGGAATTGAAACAAAGAAGCTAACTAAACCCTTCCCTCCCGCCCCACTCCTTTTTGTCTTGAGTAAAATATGGGACAGCATTTGTTTTGATTGAAAGAAAGGGGAAACTTAGCAAGGTCGCGACTAACTTAACATTGTAACATTGTGTTTTCCACCGGATCCCAAACTTCTAAATTTCGCCCAAATTTTCCAACTTCCAATCCCATCCTGGTTGTAATCTGCCTTCTCAGCAAGGTCTGAAGACATTGATGGCTAGCTACACCCTAGTTAGCATAACCGTACAGACCGTCTTTCTCTTCACGGAGTAACTTTTAAATCCATAATAAATAAAAAGGGCCAGGGTTGTGGGGACCAGTGAAAGGCCGCCCGCCCGGCTCCCAGCGCCACTTGCCTTTGCGGGAGGCTCTTTGAACTGTCCCTGGCAATGCTTTGGGGAAGTGATTAGTGTAATTAAATAGCAGGCTATGTGAAGGTGACTCGATGGGCGCCGAGAGCTTCGGAGCCGAGGCCAGGACCGCAAGTCCGATGGGGTTGGCAGTATTACCCCGACGCCCTGTAGTTCTTCACAGCCTAAGTCTAGCAGGTGAACAGCAGTGCCAAAATCGACAGCTAGAGGTGAGGGTGGGCGAACAGCAGCGGCTCTGTTTCCCCTGGCGTCTCTCAGAGAAGTCCAGCGCAGGTGACTCGGCCAGGGTAGAGGCCCTTGTGACACGCGCCTCCCCTGCTCCGTGTGACACGCGCCTCCCCTGCTCCGTGCACGCCCGTGCTGAAGGTGTCTTCAAAGGGACAGTGCGACCTTGTACAGACGGCAGGGAGCTGGTGCACGTGTTACTGCTCCGCTTTGGAGTTCCGGAGCTCGCGTGGCACCCTGCTCGGAATTCCAGACCCCCAGCTCTCCCGCCCTGCAGACGTGTTTTGGGCCAGAGTAGCTCCACAACCAAAGTAAGGCTACATTAACACTAGACCCAACTACTGCAGACGCTTGCCTCTTCTGTTAGGGGAGGGGATAGAGAGAAGCCACACTGTCCCACCCTGGCTGTCCTGTGGAGCATGCACCTGGCTTTCCGGGCTCCGACACTGAAGATGCTGAAAGGGCCCAGATCAAGATCTCAGTTGCCTATGTGAGAGGAATGCAGCGGGGAGCAGTAGATTGACTTACGTTACATTTCTAAACGCCCAGCCAGATCACCACTAGAGTAAGAGTGACACTGCGTAAAAAGCAAACTCTGGGCAATAAGTACCAAGTGTTTGGTTCCTAAGTCTTTTGTTCTTTGCATATGAGCTAAGATGTCTTCAAGGCAGGAAATGAAAGGACGGAAAGTACAGGAACCCGGACCTGGGGAAGGGGAAGGCAGGAGCTTGAGTGCCACTTCCATGAAGCCGGGAGGGGTAAATCCCTGAGCTTCACCCAACCTCTCAAAGGGGCTTTTATCCCTGTCTACTTCCCAGTCTTCTTGGGGGTTCCCGTTTGGTCCGTTGGAATGACAGGTCATAAGTGGAACATTCACTTTTTCAGGAGCCTTTGGTTACTGAACATGGAGGTAACAGACCCTCTCTCCCAATGGTATCCAAGTAGACAATAACATTGAACAAAACGTGGAGCTGCCCGCTCTTCTTGGGGACCAGCAATTTGGGCATCATTAAGTTATCCGTGCTTAAGACGGTAATATTTTATAACTCATCATAGGGATTTAGGGCTGCAGGAACTTTCTACCATTAACCGCTGAATGGACAGTGTTTGTTCCTGAGCATCCTTATCGAGCCCTTTTTATGAGGAATTTCATTTCATTCAAAGGAGGCGCTTACTGTAAATCTGTTCTTTCCCCAAATTGCAAATGTTCAACACATGTAAGTTACAACCTCATTCCCAGCACCCCACTACAAATATTGTTCTCAGTTCCTTCTCCCCGTCACACCACATGCTTGATTCCCCACTTCTATATCAGTGTGCAATTCCACACTCGCCCCCTGGTGCAGCCCATGGGGGCGGAGGGGAGGGGAGCAAGGGAAGACCATTGCCTACCTCATCCCCAAAACATGTGCACTTTCTGAGGCTGCTGATTGGAACACATTGTCTCCAGACATTACAAAGCTGGTGCTGGGGCTTCTGCGAAGTCTTTGGTATTCACTGAAAACAGATTGACTGTGCCCCCTCTCCCCCAACAAGCAACAACACATATACCCGCATACACACGCACACACTTCCCCCCTCCCTCCATTTTTTTTTCTCCCTCCTTTTTTTAAGCAATGCTTTGTTGTGTTAAAACTAGTTGGACGAGTTAGGGTGTTGCTGCTGCTCCGAGGCCCTGGCCAATGGAACCCGATCCACCCCGCTGTGCGTAAGCGCGCAATTAAGGATTTAACCAAGGCTGTGCTGCGCCTCAGCCAGCAGTCAGCCTGCCGGAGACAGAGCCTCCAGGACTCCCAGCCTCCTCCTCGCCGCCGCCGCCGCCGCCTCCTCCTTTTCTCCTCCTCCTCCTCCTCTTCCTCCTCCTCCCTCGCTCCCACAGCCATGTCTGCTTAGACTAGAGCAGCCTCACAGCCAACTCAGGCAGCAGCCGCCGCCGCCACAGCAGCAAGGACAGCCGCCGCCGCCGCCGCCCGGGAGCAATGACAGGAGTGTTTGACAGAAGGGTCCCCAGCATCCGATCCGGCGACTTCCAAGCTCCATTTCAGACGTCCGCAGCCATGCATCATCCGTCTCAGGAATCGCCAACTTTGCCCGAGTCCTCGGCCACTGATTCCGACTACTACAGCCCCACTGGGGGAGCCCCGCACGGCTACTGCTCTCCTACCTCGGCTTCCTATGGCAAAGCGCTCAACCCCTACCAGTACCAGTACCACGGCGTGAACAGTTCCGCCGGCAGCTACCCCGCCAAAGCTTACGCTGACTACAGCTACACCAGCCCCTACCACCAGTACGGTGGCGGCGCCTACAATCGCGTCCCGAGCGCCACCAGCCAGCCAGGTACGGGGGCGTGGGGGAAGATATGGAGGGGAGCAGATACTGGAGGAGCCGCCAGGGCTCCGGAGGGGCGAACTGGGGTGGGAGACTGGGGTCCCGCCATCCACTGAAGTGGGGCCGCACCAGGCATAAGGGAGTAGGGGCCTGGACTGCAACCAGGAGAGGTTCCTGGGCCAGGATTTTAGTGATTCTTAAAAGAAGCCTTCGGGGCTTCAGACCAGCGTCTCTCCCCTCCGGCACCTTGGGTGGGGGGGGGGTGTTCAGTCTCTGGATTCCCAACTTTCCTGGGTCAGAAAGCCAGATAGGCTGGAAAGGGGGTAGGGGTGGAGAGAAGAAAGAATCAAGCAACTCTAGTGGCGTTTGCGTAATAAAGGGGAGGTTAGTTATTGGAATTTTTGGTAAGCGTGCTTGGTTGGTGTGAGTGGGAGTGGAAGGCTGCCTCAAAGGCTCTGTGGGGATTAGTGTGAGAGTAGCCAGTAGCCAGTAGCCAGCGTCGTGTCGGTGCCCGGAGCGCACAGGGTGGAGTGGGGGGCTGGTGAGCTGTAGCTTGCCGGAGGAAGAGCGCGCCGAGAGCCTTGCGGTTTATCCAAGGCATTTCCAAAAACAAAAAGCCATTTAAAGGTGGAGGAGGGTTGCCGAGGGGTCACGTTATTGGAGCGATTTTTTTTTCTTTCTCCATAGGTGCCTAAAATTTGCCTTCCTTCTCCCCACCTCCTTTTTCCACCGCCTTGAAACTTAGTTGGAGAGTTTAAGAGGGTTAGTGAGCCTGGGCGGTAAGAGAAAGGCATGAGGTCTCCTTGGAGAGGTTTTGTTGGTCAGGTTTGATCTCTTCCCACCAGCACATTAATAATCTTGCTAATATTAGCATCCCCTACTCTGGCAGAATCCAGACCACAGCCCTCATCCTCCACCCTTCCTCTCCCAGCACACACACACACACACACACACACACACACACACACACACACACACACGGAAAGGTTCTCCACCCTTTCCAAAGATGGGCACTTTTGATAAGGTGGGAAAGGGGACTTGTGGCCCCAGGGCACGTTGGTAAAACACGTGTTCAGAAAGGCTCCCCCCTCAGTCTATACTCAGGACTTTGAGAAATTCGTCCTGACCTGCCGCCCCTTTCCTACGAAAACACCCCATCACAATTTGTTTTCAATATGTGACTCTTGTTAAACTTTAAAAGAAGGGGGGGGGATGTCTTCGTTCCTTTCAGTGGCTCTGTATTTCGTGCATAAGTGAAAGATTTTTTTCTTTTAGCCAAGAACTTATTAGGTCTATTTGTAAAAGAAACCAGACACATCTGTGCCCTCACAGATCTGCTGGGAGATTATGGGGGCAGCATAATCGGCCCTCTGTCTGCGGCGGCCTGGACCGCTTGCTGCTGAATTGAAGGAGCATAGTTTGCTCGTGGGTCTTTGAACTTTGGAGACCTCGGTTAGCGTCTTCCCTGCCCATGCGTCTGGCCTCTGCGGGCGCCTGAACAGATGCTGACAGAAGGGGGGTCATAGCCCTTGAAGCCCAGGGAGGGGCTGGCCATGATCACCTCCTGAAACATGGGTGAGCACTGGGAGGGTGTAAAACCAAGCCCGGGTGAAGCAGAAACCGCTACAAGGGCGAAATCCCAGATGCCAAGAAGGGACCTATGCTGTCCAACGCACTTTGTACAGGCCCTGGAAAACCTGAGAATAGCGTAGGGAATTAATCAGAGACTGACTACCTGGTCTTTCCATGATTTGGGGGAGGGGCATACGTCTCTGGGTCTCGTGAAGCAAAGGTGGTGATATGGAAAAACACGAGTGAAGACTGCATGGTAAGACATTCAAGGACTGTATTTGAGGGTTCTGCAAAAGGGCCATTGTCTGCCGACAAGCTCTAACCGGGTCTGTTTTGGTTATTTAGAGAAAGAAGTGGCCGAGCCCGAGGTGAGAATGGTGAATGGCAAACCAAAGAAAGTTCGTAAACCCAGGACTATTTATTCCAGCTTTCAGCTGGCCGCGTTACAGAGAAGGTTTCAGAAGACTCAGTACCTCGCCCTGCCGGAACGCGCGGAGCTGGCTGCCTCACTGGGACTGACGCAAACACAGGTAAATGCGGCCGCGGACCAGCGAGAGCCTCGCCTGGGCTGCAAGCCTGGCTGGGCCACGCGGTTCCGTCCCCGCGGGTTGGGGCCCATCGGCAGCATGCGTGAGAAAGTCACAGAGAGACAGAGACAAACAGAAAACCATCCACCCTGCGCCCTTCCCTCCAGGATTCAGGTTGGGTGTCGCCGCCAAACGATGGTGGGGACGGGCTGGGGACATTGCGCATTCCAAGATGTCCCCTGCTTCGGGCCTCCAGGGGAGAGGAACCTACTTTCTAGATTGGAAACAAGGGGAGAGTTACTTCTAGGGCTCTCTGGCAGCCTTGGGAAATTGTCTGGTGCTCTGCATAGCACAGAGTCTCTCGGGGAGTGGAGGGCCCGGCGGCCTCGCGTTGGTCTCAGGCCTCGGGGAAGGCCGACGACCTGGCCTCGGGCCGGAAAAGCTGAAGGGTCACTCCCTGCTAAGGCGGAGCTTTGGGCCGCAGGGTCGTGAGGGTCGTGAGGGTCGTGAGGTGGGGGGGCACTGTTGTAGGAAGAAATCTTCCCTGGAGGGTCCCATTCCCTTCACTCCCACTCTAACCCCTATAGGAAAATAAAGAATGCTGGAGTCGCCGCCCAGAGCTGCAGGCAGATTCTGACCTCTCTCAGAGATGAGGAGTTGGTGAACCGAGTCGGGTGGGGGATTGGGGGATAGATTCTTTGCCTCCTTGAACTCGTGCGCGCCTAGCCTGCTCCACGACCCTGACGCAGGGGGCTCAGGCCATTGTTTGACTTGGGCTGCGCCTCGTTCCGTGCGCGCTGCGCTGGCCTACACGTGCGTGCACGCCGCAGCGACCCTTGCGCCTTCTCCCCGCCCCCAGCCCAAACAAAAGACTACACAGGCTCTGGGTTGTGTCCTCGCGGCGGCCGGGTCGCGCAGATCCTGCCTGGGCGCCCTCTGGGGCCCACGATCCGGCCTCTGCCTCAGGCCCAGCCCCTCTAGACCATAGGCCTCGAGCTGCGGGGAGACGCCAGGGCCAGGCAGCCTGGGCGTTAGAAGCCTCCAGTCGCTGCCCTGGGTTAGGCGAGGGTGGCCTCTGAGTGTCCCGGTAACGTGTGCCTTTGTTCCCCCACCCAGGTGAAAATCTGGTTTCAGAACAAAAGATCCAAGATCAAGAAGATCATGAAAAACGGGGAGATGCCCCCGGAGCACAGCCCCAGCTCCAGCGATCCCATGGCATGTAACTCGCCGCAGTCTCCAGCGGTGTGGGAGCCCCAGGGCTCGTCCCGCTCACTCAGCCACCACCCTCATGCCCACCCTCCGACCTCCAACCAGTCCCCCGCATCCAGCTACTTGGAGAACTCGGCTTCCTGGTACCCGAGCGCAGCAAGCTCAATCAATTCCCACCTGCCGCCGCCGGGCTCCTTACAGCACCCGCTGGCGCTGGCCTCCGGGACACTCTATTAGACGGGCCGCTTTGTCTTGCTCTCTTTTTTGGGACTACTGTGTTTTGCCGTTTTAGAAAATCATAAACAAAGGAATTTATATGGGGAAGTTTGGAAAACAGAAACACAAAAGATTGATGTGTAAAGCTTTTTTTGCATGTAAGTTATTGCATTTCAAAGGACCCTCGTCCCCCCCCCACCCCCGTTTTTTTTTACAGACGAACTTTTTTGCGCAACTGTGGACACTATCAATGGTGCCTTGAAATCTATGACCTCAACTTTTCAAAAGACTTTTTTCAATGTTGTTTTAACCATGTAAATAAGTGTAGATAGAGGAATTAAACTGTATATTCTGGATAAATAAAATTATTTCAACCGTTAAAACGTTTCTAAAAAATACTCCTTTGCCCCTCCCCCCCTTATAATGGGCTAGTGACATTTTATGTAGGCAATTAAAAGAAGACAGGTCTGCAGAGAGAGATCCAATAAGGCAAAAAGGAAAACAAATTGGGAGCCGGGTGGATGCAGAATTCTACACATGTACATGTTGGATGCTGTGCTTTATATGTCTATGTACATATGTGGCCTGTTTATAGTACTGTGTGTGATATATATATTTAGGTGGGTTTTTTTGTTGTTGTTTTTTTTACCTAACCACAAAAACGTTTAGATAATTTCAAGTTTAACCCCAAATTGTTTCAGGTAGAAAGTAATGCTGGAATCTAAATACGGCCCTCCCACCCTGTGTGTAAGTAAGAAAGGAGCAGAAATCCCTCAATAACCGCTCTGAATTCTAAGCTCAAAGCAATTATGGTGGAGAACTGCCCCCACCCCATCAGCCTCTGTGTATTGCCAGAGCAATTAGACAAATTACACTCCCTTCAAAGGGACCTTCCAGAGATGAGAAAATTTTTTTAAAAAGAAAGAAAGAAAATTTCCTATTACATTTTTTAAAAATCTGAAATGTTTGCAGCATGGCAAATTGTAGTGCCTTAGACTCCTTGGTGTATGATTATAAATTTATCTGAGATCTTTCAGAGAGAGTAAAGGATCACAAGACTTGAGAACAATGATGGACCTAACTAAATCAGTAGGCCAAGGAGTGCAGGGTGGGGGGCATTCCTTCTTCTGCCAAGAGAGAGAATTGTGAGGTGGAGGAAAAGAGTGAGCATTGTGGCCCGGTGTTGATTTCATTTAGTATGAGATAATATTCTAAATATAAATTGTTTCTCTCCAACTTCTTTACCACTGTTTTTTTCAGGAAGGAGCTCCCTCTGCTTTACTTTTGCATAAAGCAGTGGCAAAGCAGGTTCCGAACGCTGGGAAATTGAATCTGTGTACTGGGATTTCTCCTTTGTGAAGCCTTCTTTGGGGCAGAGAGGAAGGACTTATGGCAACCTTGATCTATGTCCTGGCCTCTTCCGTGCACCCCTGCATATGGATATCAACAGTGTGACCAGAGCTACAGCCCAGGTCCAGAGCAATGCTCCCAGGCCCGAATTGTAGGCCTCTTTTTGACTGTTGTTTAGTCCGGGCCTGCCTCTGTTTCCTTGGACTACCAAGGGAAATTGTATGTTAGCAATTACAAGATGCAGGAGATATATTTTACAGCTAGGAAGTCGGCAGCAATAAATGTGACAAAAGAGTTGGGGGTGGGGGGAGGGCAGTGTTGGAGATTAGAACATAAAAAAGTATATCCTGTGGTCTGAAGATTTCTGAGAAGGTTCTTCCAGGGTTGGGAGAATAGACCTGAAAAGGCACGCTGTATGCCCGGAGGGGGATTTACCTGTGTGCTCTCTCTTTCTCCCTCACCTTTCCTCACCTCCCTATCTTCCCCAATTCCTTCCTTCTCTTCCCCTTTACTTTCTAGCCTGGCAGATTGGAACGGCTTGGCCCTTGGGGGGGATTAGTGGTTTGGCGAGTATTAAGGCGCACCCTGCCTGGCCCCGGGGCAGCTCAACGGCGGCGGCCAGGGCTGTGGACCCCTTCTCCGCCCCCAACACTAAAGCCCCAGCAGCCGCTTCTCTTCCCGCAGCTTTACCCGCCTCTTCATTCCCTTCCAGCCCTCCTTTCTCGGAAGAAGTTCTGGGTGGCGACGACGCTCTGCGGAGGGGTGGGAAGGGGAAGACGGTCGAAGCCCCATTTTGTTTTCTGTGCTGGCAGAGAATAGTAGGATGGGGGAAAGAGGTGGAGGAATCTATTTCCTGCTTTTCTTTCTTTGCTTGTAAGGATTTCGGGAGTTTCCATTACACTGAAAGCCAGGGTTTTCTATCTGGGTAATCCGGCTAGGAGAAACTGCGCCCCGCGGTTTGTGAGCGCCAGCTTTCCCCTGCGCGAGCCTCCCCGGGGTGCGTGTTTGGGAAAGTTGGAGGGGGCGCGCCCACTGTACGTCTCTACCATTTCCCATCCATGTGCCTGGAACATGCTCTCTCCCTTTCTGCACACAGGGCAGGTATTTTTCCAGCCGTTCCCGTCATTTCCCCACCTCCATTCCTGGCTTTGAAAGGGGATCCCTTCACTATCACCCCGAATCCCCCGGCGCGGTCAAACTGAGGGAAGGGCGAGTTCGGACTCTTCCCGGGGAAGAAGAGGGAAGCTCTTCTTTAATGACCACCCTTCCACCCCCCAGCCTTGACGCTGCTCGTGGTTAAGGACACTAAAGCCTCGTTGCGACAAGGGCAGGCAGAACGCCGCGCGCACAGACTCGGTTTTAGGATTCCTTCCCTTGTGCTAACCTCACTTCTTCCACTCGCAATGGCCTCTTCTCTCGCGCGGTTTTTTTTTTTCTAACTTGGTCTAGGAGCCGTGGACAAAAATATTCTGGCAAACCAGTCTGCAGCGGGTTTTCCCTGGCACCATGGGGATTCTCCCGGGGGAATTTAACTCCCTGCAGTCCTTCGCCCAAGGATGTAAAAATAACAGATCCTCAGCGAAGTCTAAAAATATCTGTGTGATGTTCCTCTCCCTTGCCCTCCCTCTTCCTCTTCATTGTTTATTCCTATATCTAATATAAACGTGTACCACTCCGCAGCCTACTCCCGGTCTGCCAGACTCCACTCGCCCCAACCTCTGTCTGCCCCTTGCGGTCCCCACTTACCTAGCTCTCAGTCTAGTGCTCCCAAGATGTCAAGCCCACCCCCAAGAGTTCATTTTGTTTTCCGTGGGCCTACTCACCACCCCGCATACTCCCAAACCCCCACCTCCATCTTTAGACCTCCTTACAAAGCCCAGGAAGCCCAGGACATGCTGGCAGGGCTGCTGCGATTCCTCAGTGCCCTGCTGGCCTCCTGGGCCCTACAGTAAAAGATCAGATAAATTGGCCTTTGTTTGAGGCTCGTGTTGGGCTAGGCAGATTTCTGCCCTTTTTCCCCCCCTTTTCCTGGCGGCCACCTCCTTGTGGAACAGGGGGCGGCCTGGGCAGCCGAGAGAAGCCGCATTCCTGTGGGTGCCAGGCGGCTCCAGTGCTGAGCCACAGGGCCTGAGACACACACAGAGGAACCCGCAGACCTCTCTGCCCTTGATCTTGCTCTCTCTCTCTCCTTCCCGTTGGGGCACCCACCCGGGAGCCTGTCCACCCACACTCGGATCCACCCAGGTCTTGGCCTCGGACAGGAGCGTGCTGACCCGCACACCAACACACGCACACACCCTCTCCTGGTGACACAGGCCAGGCCAGGATCTCCCCGCCCATGCCAATTCTCTCTCTCCCGCCCCTCATCCCACAATCCCAGACGCGCCGGCTGGCCTCCTTTGGCTCCTTTGATCCCACCGGACGCCCCACGGCTCGCGGCGTCCTGGCCACGCAGTCCTGGGAGTCGCCCACTGCGCGCCAAGGGCAGGCGGTGCTCGCCTCCTCCCGGCGCGCCCTACAGCTTACTCCGGCCTTGACACCACTCGGTCTCCTGAGCTCCCCAGCCCGAAGCGCAAGGGATGCCTCCTGGGACACTGCCCCTTGCCCCCACCCCTCCTCAGTGCTTCCTTTTATTTGAGGAGAGGGATCTTTAGGGCTACCCAACTACCACCCCCCTCCCTGCCCCATCCCCGCAATGCCTTGGATCGCGCGCGCGCCTCCCACTGGCCGCTGGGATCTCGCCAACCCGGAGCTCTCCGGCCCTCCCCCGAGGCACGCCCTGAGGGCAGACGCCCTCCCGCACCTCTGGGAAGCGCGCCACGCCAGCGGATACGCCTGCGGTCACCCCTCTCCCCCACCCTTAAGCACCCCCTCCCACAGCCTCTGGGTGGAGGCTCCCGCCTCCCAGGAGCTTGGGGAGGGGGCGCTGTGGCTTGCTCCCGCCCTCGGCTCGCGTTTCCAGGTTGCCCGTAGTCCTTGCACACTGTACTTTTTTCAGAGTCACGACGAACTCTGGGCCTCGAAAACAGCCCAAATAGCGGTAGCACATGTGGGATTAGCCAAATATTTCTCTACGCATCCCTGTCCCCACCACCCACCCCGCCCCATCCGCATTTTCTTTTGCTACTGACAAGCTTTAGGTTCGCCTGTGGCACATGGCAGAAAGTATACAAAGTATCTGCTGCGGAGGACGGGAGGGGGTGGGGAGAGAGCCTTCCTTTTCAAGCACCCAGGGTTGCCGGCTGTAATGTAATAACCTGTTTTATAGGTCGAGCTCTAACCGTGAAGATAGGAACCTGGGGAATTTACATGAATCTCTCTTTAAAGGAGACGAGAGTCCTGTATTGCAGCAGTTAAATGTTTCTGCTCTTTTGTTCGCTAGGACTTCGTATTACTTCTGATTTATGGGGATCTGAAGGAGTCTCTTTGCCAAAAGCGCATGTATTATTGAGTCTGTTCCACATCCTAAACCAAGATTTATATAAAACCGTGAAATACCACACATTACGACCTTTCGCCACAGGAAGGAAAAAAAATGGCTTCATAACATCATTCTACACACACACAAACACACACACACACACACACAAACACACACACACACACACACACACACTAAGTTTCAGTAATGATTCTCTGTCAAATCTCCACTATACACAGTTTAGTGTATTTTTTTAAGTGGGTGAAGGTGGAGGGCGATAAACAGTTCACAAGCTATGATTTCTTTTAAAGCATTTTTTTTTCCTTGCAAAGGCAAGAAGACAGAAATCTGCCACTGGAAGCTTATTGTCATCCAAGGACTATTTCTGCCATTTGCCATTTGCAAGGTGGAGGAATAGTGGCAAGGGAAGAGGCAGGATATGGACTCAACTTTCATCTATAAACAGGGGTCACTAAACAGGGGACATTTCATTATTGCCCTTAAATTCCCAGGAGCTAGGAAGCCTGCTTGCCACCCTGCGGGGTGGCCCTGTCTGGGCAACTCCCAGGTCTGTGAGGCGGTGGTGGGAGGAAGAATCATCACAC